TGTGGGCAGTCATGTCCCCTGAGGCCACATTTGGAACAGTGCATCTTTATGCCAGAAATTTGAGCCTGAGATTACTATATTGTGATCTTATGATCAAACCTAACAAGACAAAGGCGCAGCCAAGTGGTACTGCTTTTAATATCTCAGAGATAGCTGTAGGGATCCAATTATTTTCAGTTTGGATACATTTCCCCTTTATCAATATCTCCATGTGCATAAATAAGATGAAAGTGGAGTTCCGGAATCAAAAAGGGACGGAACTCACATCACTGGGCAGACTTGCTCCATCTGGAAGTGCACGGCCAGTCTCTCCCACGCAGGTTTCTGATGTCGGGCCCACATCTTCCTATCGGAGGCGACATCTTTTTATAGGTTGGAGGCAAGAAGGGAGTTTAGGCACGGAGATGAACTTACAAATAAAGAAAAAGGATGCTAAAAAAAGGGGAAAGAATGCGTACTAAATCAGCAAACTCGGTTCCCTTCCAAGAGGCATCAAAGAGGTGATGGGTGACTTCAGCTGCGCTCAGAGCTCCTCTCAAGAGCTCTTTCACGGAATTGAAAACACAGTTCCCCACTCCCGGGTTCCTTTGATTGCCTGGCCCACATCAGCGGGCGCCCAAACCGCCATGTAAATAGGCTGCCCAAGCCGAAACGCAGACGGCAACTAGTCCTTGCAGAACCTCGCGGGCCGGACGCCCTGACCCAACACACGGAGGTGGGAGATGAAGGGAGCAGAGCACAGCACAGCCCGGGAGAGCGTGGCTTCCGCCAAGAGGCCGGAGGCACCAGAGGGCTCTGCCCGTCCTGCAGGACGTCGTGCTCGGCACAGTCGGCCCAAAACGCTTCTGAGCCAAATGGGATGACAATATGGAACAACGGCTGCGGCCTGCCATGCAGCCCCGAAACACCGCTGTGTGGCGGGGGAGGGGGGCAGGACGCACAGTCAGGCTGGTTGGGGTGGCTTCGCTGGTGCCACAAATGTGCTGTCCAATCACTCATTCTCTCGAGCAATATTCACCTGGCTGTTTTGCCGTCTTTCCCTCTGAGCTGATTATTCTCGCATTTGGAAGGGTCACCAAGGAGCTCGGCGACTTCTCCCTGCAGGGCCACTGTGTCCTGACTCTGGTACCCAGAGGCCTGCCTGCCTGGTGGTGCCAGGCCCAGCTGCCGGGGGTTCTACAGCACACTATGGTATGGAACACGCAACACACAAAGCCCCACGCTGGGTGTCGCGGGCTCCTGGCCCCACTGACAGCAAACTGCCCCCTCCTTAAGCCCCTAAAATCTAGTTAATTCTGTCCACCGTCACTACTGTACACCGCATCTACAGCATCACTTCAAATCAATATTTTAAGTGTGTGCTTAAATGGTATCAATAGCAATTAGAGAGGGGAATTCTGATTCCACCCCAGACGTAGTTAATTGTTACAGCATCGATCTCTCCCCTAACGTGCTGCTTTCTCCAAATTAAACCCCCATTACAGCGGGGGGTGAAGGGCACCCTCTCCCCTCCCCCTGCGACAATAAATTTCATATCGAATGTGCTGGGGAAAAAATGGCAGCTGTTGCAGAATCCATCCAAAAAGTTTTTTTTTTTTTTTCCCCTTCCTAGGAGTAATTAAAAGATGCTTTTCTTGACTAATGATTCCCCTGTTTAGGAATGGGAAGTCAATACTGCTTCAGCCGCCGTCAGCTTCGATTGATCACAGCGCTGCTCAAGTTTGAACGGCAGTTCTCAGGGAGGCTGAGAATCGCTGGAACCAATTATGAGCCGTCCGAAGCTGCCCTAATCAGGGGTGCAGGGACAACAAGCAGAAGGCCAGCCAGCTGCTCAAAGGCGCCTGTTTCCCTAGCTGGCCTGCAGGTCTGGGTGACTCCCCTACAGGGTGGCTTGGGGGAACCCGTTGTTTCTGTGGAGGAAGATCTGGTGTGTTCTGCTTCCCCACGTTGTGTGTGTGTGTGTGTGTGTGTGTGTGTGCGCGCGCGCGTGCGTGCGAGGGCGTGTGTGTTCGGGGCCACGGCACACTTCTAATTACGTTCCACTGTCAGAATGAATCTTCTGAACGAGACGGAATGGACCAGAGCTCCTCGGGAAAACAGCTGGGCCTTTCCCCCAAGAATCAGACTGAATATACTGCACTTGGCTTTTCCTTGGATAGAGATAAAAATTTATTAAAATATTTCTTTTTGGTATCGCCTCAGGGCCACATTGAAAGAACCTTCCAGCGGTTTCTACTGACAGTCACAGGTTCTGCGGCGAGACGGAGGGGTGGGGGCGCGGAGGGGTGGGAGTGGCTCAGAGGGGCCCCGTCCGACTGGAGATCCATCCTCACAGCACGGATGGGAGTCCTGGCAGAAACGGGAGCCCGGACTTTCAGTTCCCCGCTGCTGTTTGGGGAGAGCACAGGGCGTGGGAAGGTGGTGGTGCTTGGATTTCTACTGCACAATCAGGCTGGGTTGTTTTTTGCTGCTGACAGTGTATCCAGGGCTCCCATGTGTTCCCACCAGGACCACAGCCTTTCAAACTGGCCTCCTGCCTCTTGTCTCTGTCCCTTCCAGCGACCTTGCTGGCTGCCTTTAGTCCTCTAGGGAACAGGCAGCCATCAGAACACACCAACAGACCAGGCCAGTCCCCCTCCACCGCCCCCAGGGCGGCTCCTATGGTACCGCCCTGGGCTCAAAGGCCCTCCCAGGGCCTCACCCAGCCCAGCTCCTCCTCGTTCCCGGAGTGTCCAGCCCCACGGCGAGGGACTTGCTGACGTGCATATGTCCCCCCAGCTGTTCCGCCACGTTCCTGGCTTTGCCTAGGCCGTGCCCATCCTCCAACACGCTTCCCCTCCCCCGGCCTTGGAAATGACCCCGATTTTAGAGTCCAGCTCTGACGCCATCTCTGCAGTGAGACCTACCTCCCGTAAGCGCCCCTCCGCTCTCTGAGTTCTACCGAGCCCTGGCAGCCTCCCCTGGCCCCGAGAACGTTCGCCCATCACTGCAGAGTTTACAGCCATCACTCACCGTTTCTCCCCTATGAAAAAGCGCCTAATGGGTATCTGCTGACCTTAATGAAAAACAAAACTCCCTGAGCGAGTTACTGAAGGGCGCAAAGAAACGTTCAATTCTTACGTGTGTTGAGCTTCTTAGAAGAGAATTCGGAAACCCAAAAGTTACCTTTGGAAATGGCTGGTAACCACATCACCATTGCCACCCGGAGGGGAATTACCAGTCAGAACGGCTCTTTAGGAAAGCCAGTGTGGACAGAGAAAAGACGGAACTTAACTGCAATAACCACTCCACGCGTGAGAAAGGAAGACTCTGAAATGTGCCTCTAAAATGTAAAGATGTGACGCACCTAAGACCAGACAGAAGAGAAAGCTGTACACACAAGAGCTTAACTCAAATACACAAATTAGCTCTGTACAATACCTGTGCCCAGTCTTCATTTATGAACGAAGATGAAATTAACGTAAAATATCTATCAGTTAAAAAATTATCCTGCGTCTTTGTTTTCAATCATTCCAGTTTCCAACAGATTGAACAAAGTTCTCTAATTGGTGACATTAAAAATAAGGTATGTGTCTCTTTTATACATCAACAGTAAGATGCACAAAGTTAATTTATGGCAACTTATTTCAGCGTTTCCTGCCTTCCTACATTAAACGCAATGTAATCCCCAATCACTTTTCATTTTCAGACCCAAATATCCTTCAACGATACATCTATGAAAAAAAGACATTGAAACATGAATTAAATCTTTTCAGAATGCTCACAGTTGATGACTCAGCTGGCTTCTGTTAGTGTTCAATCCAGAGAAATAATTTTTAAAGTGTATCATTTCTTCAGGTTGTGACCAGTATTTCCACGATACACTGTAGCTCACAGCGAGCTTGCACATAAAACCCACACGATTTTAAGCAAGCACGCTCTGTGCGGGACCTCTCCCGTTCCCCTCCCCGCTGCCCCACAGGTGACAGGTGCCTAAGAAAGAGCAAGATTAATAATCCACCAGCCTCCTTCTCTAAAGCCAACCAAAGGTGGCACCACAAATTCCGCTTTCAGTGTTAACGAATTGAAGTCCGCCAACCCTTCTCACGCCGCCGCTCAGCGGCGGGGACCGGTTTCCGTGGCTGAGCCGGACTGTCGCCACGCGAACTCGCGTCGGCCCTCGCCCCCAGCAAAGCAAACCAGAGCCATCTTGGAAGGTGCTAGTGACGGAGACAGCTCCTCTGCCTTCATGCCTTCGCACGCCTGGGAGGCGGACACCAAAGCAGGCCTCGGGCCCCTCCCGCGGGGGAGGCCGGGCACACGCGGCGCCGCGCACGAAGCGGCCCGGCCCGCCGCTGTGAAATCCTCCTCCTCCGGAGACACGCCATTTTATCACCTCTTGGCAACATTAAATATGCATGTGTGCTCAAAAACGGGTTATAATAGCTGTAAATGAAAAATGAGACGCTAAATGGCCTCAAAATAAATGCGTTTTTTACACTGGGTAACAATTAACGTTAATGAGGAGTCGCTATACTATATTATGCCCAACTTGGTGGATGAAATGTGTGAGAAATATATTTTAGAAAATAAGATATATTTTGTCACCATGAAGTCACTTGTGTGTGTGTGTGTGTACCAACGGAACAGATGCTTATCAACGATACAAGAATAACAAAATTAAAGAATCAAAAATTCATAATTAGTGTTAACAGCACAGCTTATGCCTATTAGAAATGTATTAATTAAAGTAATATATTCATAAGGTTAGAAGCTTAATACATTTCTAAGAGGGGGAAAGAAATCCCCAAGGCCTAAAAACAAACATAAAAAATTAAGGAGGCTGAATTATCCACGTCCGCTTAAGACCAATTTTAAATATAGACATTTCCACGCTGGGCTAATCAGCATTCCTACAGGTGGCCGGGGCCATTCCCACTGTGGCTGTCATTAAGGTCATTTCCAGTTGCCTAATTGCTGGCAACTCGCACCCGGAGCTACACGTCTTCCGGCGCTCCTACCTTGTGGAGTCCAACGAGGGTTTCGTGCGCCCTTGGCTGCCCTCTTCCCAGACGCTGTTGGCCAGCTCGTTGCCGATGGACGACATCACCTTGATGAGCTCGATCGGCCAGTCGTCCAGGTCCAGAGACCGCACTCGGGAGAGGTGGGTGCCGAGATTCCGGTGGATCCCCGAGCACTCGATGCACATGAGGGCTCCCAAGTTCAGACTGGCCCAGTTGGGATCTGCGGGAAGAGGGAGGGAAGGCCCAGTGCCATCAGACCATCATCATTCCTTCCAGCTGCCCCCGGAGACAGAACCACCCCTCGGTTCGACTGCGCACCTGGCCGGCCCTCCCCAGAACCGCAGGGCTAGAAAACGCTCCCTGGCCAGTACTCAGCGCTGTTCGACGCGTCTTGAAAGCTTTGGCGGTTGGTAGGAATGCCAAAAAACAGACAAAGAAACAAAAAAACGTGGCTTAAGCCGAAGCCTTGGGATTTGCCACAAAATAAACAAGTGCAAGTGCGGGTTCGGATGGAAAGGTGCACTTTCCACCCTCCACCAGCACCATCCACCTCGAGGGGAATGACGTATGTGGAAAAAGTCCCACTTGACGTGGCATCCACTGTGGACAGCTGCTCGTGGGAGGGAGCAGGAAGGGGTGTGGGGGCAGCTGGGTGACACCGTGGCTCTGGCCGTTCCCCAAGCCAGTGTCCCTCAAAACCACCCCCACAGCCATGGGCACATCCAAGCATTTTTGAGGCTCACGACGGGCATGTCTGCGAATTTCAAAGACAGAGGAGAGGCATGCCCCACAGGGAAGAACGCGGTTTTCAGGGACCTTATGGGAGGGTCGCTACTGAAGCAACTCTTGCCCAGCTCTCTGTCCCTCCCTGCTGGCAACGGCCGGTGGGGTCCCCCAGCCCCGACTTGCAGAACGGGCGGTAACATGCTGCAGGCTGCCGTATTAGACAGGCACACGACTGTGCAGCTGACAAAGAGAATGGCATCAGGACCCTGGAGCTGGACCATTTGCTGTGTGAAACCCGCTGGCATCATCAGAGGACCAAGAACTGGGGCTCAGGGTTGCCCTCGTGCTAGAATCTACAGCCGATCTGCAAAGACGGGGTTGCCCTTGACAGTCCACCGCTCCCCCCACGGACAGGAGCAAGCACGGCTAACTCCCGTAGGGGCGGTCAGTGTTTACCCCAGGTGCACCTGAAGAGTCCACAAAACACCAGGTAGCTGACGTCACGTTTAACTTGCTGGGAGAGACATCCTTTGTTCCCCAAATGGCAGATGACTGGGAATGGCCTTATGCCAGTTCATCAGAAATCAGAAAACTGGCCATTTTTAACATGTGAGCCATATTTAGGGAGGAGGGAGGCACGGCGAACCGCTTGCACGAGCCCCTCCTCCCTACGGTGTCCACACCCCGCACAGCCAGTGTCCCCACCGGCCCATTGCTGCTGCCCTTCGTGGTCACACACAGCCGGGCCCCAGCTCTGCCCGGCCACAGGCGCGGGGACACGGGCAGCCAGCACCAGCCCCTCCAGGGCTACGCCCAGCATGACCCTCTGGCCGTCATGTCACTTGACCCCTGGTGGTGCCTGCTGCCTCCCTCCCTCCTCACGACACTGACTCGATGCCTCTGAGGCCGACAGCCGCTCTGGCTCTGTCTGCCTCTCTCTGGTTGCTCCATCCTCATCTCTCCCCCGACTCTTCCTCCTGAATCTGCCCCTTACCCGGGTCCTGCAGGGTCCTGTCTTCTGCCTCTTTACTTTCTTGCAGGCACACCCCACGCCACCCACGGCTTCGCTTACGCCCCAGCGTGGACAGCTGCCTGCCGCGCCACCTCCTGCTCACTCCCGAGCTACGGTAGTTGCCACCTGCCTTTCCGTCTGGGCGCCTTGGAGATGCCCGTCCACGCTTCGCCCTGCATTCTCCTGCCAGCAAACGGCGCCCGCACTGGCCCAGCTACTCCAGCCAGGGCCCTGGGCGCCCACCTGAGTTCTTCCATCTTCCCACGTCTGGCCACAGCACTCCCGCCTCTCTCAAGTCCAGCCCTTTCCTCTGCACCCTCCCTGGGTGTCCTTGCCACCTTCCCAACAGGGGTGTGGAAGTCCCACCTCCCACCCCCTTGCAGGCCACTCTCCACGCGGCAGCCAGGGGCCTGTCACACACGGTACCTGTGACGTCATGTCCCTGCGCAAAAGCCACCCACGGCCGCCATACACCACTCAGATCACGTCCAAAATCCCTCCCGCAAGACTGGACCCAGACCCCCATCCTCACCTTGCCTCATGTGAGCACCGCAGTTCCTGAAGCCCCTGTGCGCGACGCCCCTTCTCTGTCTGGACCCCCGGCCCTCCGCCCGGCCCACGTCTACTCCTCCCCTGGCCTCAGCCGAAGTCTTCTTCCCCGCGGACGTCCTCCTCGCCGGCCACCTGCCCCGCGCAGAGAGCAAGGTCCCCTGCTGATGGCTCTCGGCAGCCGTGCTCTGCCGGGGACCCGGCGTGGAGGGTGCTTGCTCCCTGAGGAGGGCAGGGCCCGGCTGCGAGCACGTGCTCTCATGTGCTCTGTCTCCTCGGGGCCTGCCACGCACGTGGCTCGCAGGCGAGTGAAAGGGCGGCTGGGCTGAGGCGGAGGACGTACGTAAGGGGCCAGCGTGGGGCAAGGCTTACTGGGAAGTGGCAGGGGGCTTCGGTCCGGCTGTGGGGCCGCACCCGCGACACCAGCGCCCTCGGCCAAGGCCACGTGTCCACTCACGCCAGGGGGCCGGCAAACACCCGGAAACGCTCTGACCCCCACTGGGGGGACGACCTGCAAGAGGGACGAGGGCCCCGCGGTTGGTGCTGGGGTTCGAGGCATGGGGAGCCCGCGTATTACAGCAGAGCTCCCGGGAGGTATCCGTGGGGACCCAGGGATGCCAGGCCTGCGTATGTTCAGCTGCGTCAACGCTGAACTTGGCATCCTCCGCCGCCCCTGCCCCCACCGCACCCCGTCCCCTCCCTGCCGCCCCCACCGCAGCCCGTCCCCTCCCTGCCGCCCCCACCGCACCCCGTCCCCTCCCTGCCGCCCCCACCGCACCCCGTCCCCTCCCTGCCGCCCCCACCGCAGCCCGTCACGGAGCGCCGTGGTGAACGCTCTCGCACGCTGTCCCCACTGTCACTGCTCACACCGGGTCCTGCCGCCGCCCGCCGGAACCGCTGCGGGAGCTTCCCGTGTGGCTCAGGTCCCACCCCAGCCCCAGCCTTTATGGGCTGTGGTCCGGGCACGGCAGCTCGTCACGCTGACGCCTTGCTTGGCGCTCGGCGTGGGCCTAGACGGTCCCAGCCCAGAACTGAAGGTGGACACGCGTGTGTGGGACACGCTGGAGCGACAGGACTCAGCTGTCCACGGAAAGCAAACGCGCTGAGCTGCTGCGTCCCCGGCTCACCACTGCGCAGCGCACTGCGACACAGCTGAGACTGGCGCTCGCTCCGGGCGGCCTGGCTTCTGCTCCAGCGGAGAGAGGAGCAAGTGTTATCGAAGCGCCACCAGCTGCGATTTCCCCAACACGCCTTGAATTTCACTGGGATGCTCCGTCGTGTCTCGGCACCGGGGCTGAGAACCTCAGCCTGGCCGGTCCCAACCCCCTAGCATAACCCCCAAGCCCTGGACCACCTCCTGCCTCCTCTCTGGCTCCAGCCCCTCTCGCGTGCGGTGACCCTGCAGCCCCGGGGGCCCTGCCCTCTGGGGCCTCCACGCCGGGGCGTGTGCTGCCGCCTGCCTTTCTGCCTTTGCCTGCCCCTTGCGAGTCCCCTTCCCTCTCTGGGCCTTGGCTCCCCCTGAGAAGTGAGGCCAATAACGCCCATGCCCAAGGGCTTGTCACGAGGACTAAGTGCTGCGTGGCACCTAGAGCAGCGACTGCCGCCCGGGAAGTACGGCGTCAGGCATTGCCGTAATGACACCTGTTCCTTCCCGTGTTCAGCCGGTGTCAACGCCCCAGCTTCCGGGGATATGGCAGTGAACAGAACGGGGAAATCGCTGCCCGTGGGGATGCAGGGTGAGGACGCTACAGGGGCAGAGTGACAAGAAATAAGACAACTGCAAGGTACGTCAGAGCCTGGGGCCACCGCGCAGCGGAACGCAGGGACGTGCGGCGTCAGACCTGGCGGCCAGGGAAGGCTCGATGGGGGGTGACGCTGGGGCGGGGACCCCGGGGATATGGGGACGGAGGTTAATCTGTGGGTCGGGCTGAAGAAATGAGAGGCCGGATGTGCTCCTGCTGTAGGCTCTGGGGGGCTGTCGTGCTGGCGGGGGGCCAGTCCCCACCCATGTGCCAGTCTGGGGCCCACGGGCTCGTGCCGGACACAGACAAGGCGTGTAACGAATGGACGCTTGTCATCTCCTTTGTCTCCTGAATTGTCAAACTCCGCCTTTTCCCCTCCACCCTGTACACCTGCCCACGTGACGTGGTCTCACGCTAAACAAACTGTCCTCCCAGCCTCCCCCGAACTGGCCTCCCTTCCCACCGCCCTCCTCTCCACCCTCACCCCGGACGGGACCTGCGACCTCCGGTCTGCCGCACGCCGCGGCCCCTGTGAGCCACGGGCTCGTGCCTGCCAAAGCAATCTCTGGACGCACGGCGGGGAAAAAAAAATCGCAGATGTTTCCCTTAATGGAGGCCCTAGTGTTTCTCAGATTCTGTGCTTCTAAGAAAGCTCTTACTTTGAAAACTTTTTGATAAAAACACACATCAAATGACTGCTCTGTCTTCTAACCCCATTCCGCCACACATCTGAAGTAAGATTCAGAAATTCAAACAAAAGAAGATAGTTTGAAGAAGCACCTCAAGATACCGGGAGACGAAACCCCCTTCCTCGCCCAGAGGACAGGCCTCCGTGGAGGCCGCGGACAGACTCTGGGCCTCTCCCCGGCCCGCCTGCCGCTGAGCTGGCCTCGGAGCGGCGCTTCCCTTCCCTCCCTTCCCTGGGGAACCTCCCTCCTGTGGGGACGGCCAGCCCCCCTCGCTCTGCCTCTGCCTCCCAGGCTCTCGCCGAGCACAGCCCAGAGACTCCGCCTTGCTCTGGGCCTCCACGGACGTCCCTGTGCTCGCAGGCGAGGCACGAAGCTCCAAGACCCTCCGCGTAGCAGCCCCACTGGCTTCAGCTGGTTTACCTGCCCGAGCACCTGCTCCCTTACTCAGAACGGGGTCTCCAGCCACCCCCCGGCACCGTCCCGCCCACCTGCAGGACCCACTCCCGGGTCAGCCCACATGACGCCTGCTCGGAGCCACACCCCATGGGCCCCGATGGGCCTTCTGCACGGCACCCGGCCGCATGGTCACCGGGCCACCGAGTGCCCGTGGGCTGTGGGCTCCAGGACAGCTGACCGACCGCGTCACCCGTGTTTGCTTCCCGAGAGCACCTAGCCTGCGGCCGGGACCTCTCACCTCGTGTGAACGAGAGTTCCTTCCCTCCCAAACTCCGCGTAACAAAAAACTTGAATGGGAAAGTGCACTGAATGTCCCCAGCACTGTGCTCAGGGCTGGGGCTTAGAGAATGAAGAGCAAGTGCCTGCCCTCACGGAGGGGACCAACTTCCTCTAAGGGGAGGCAGTATGACTCGCCGGACGGCAGAAAGCGTGAAATAAACAGGGTTGAGGCTGGGCGCGGTGGCTCACGCCTGTAATCCTAGCTCTCTGGGAGGCCGAGGCGGGCGGATTGCTCAAGGTCAGGAGTTCAAAACCAGCCTCAGCAAGAGCGAGACCCCGTATCTACTATAAATAGAAAGAAATTAATTGGCCAACTGATATGTATATAAAAAATTAGCCGGGCATGGTGGCGCATGCCTGTAGTCCCAGCTACTCGGGAGGCTGAGGCAGGAGGATCGCTCGAGCCCAGGAGTTTGAGGTTGCTGTGAGTCAGGCTGACGCCACGCACTCACTCTAGCCTGGACAACAAAGCGAGACTCTGTCTCAAAAAAAAAAAATAAAAAAATAAACAGGGTTGCTCCAAAGAGCAAAGCAGTAACCACGAACTTTATCGGTTCAATCCAACGCTTCGGTGTGCAATGAATTTAAGACTTAAAAAAAAAAAAAAAGATTCTGACGTCATTTGATGGCAAAACCCAGAACACATGATTTTGAAAAAAAAAAAAAAAAAAAAACCACAAAAAGCAGAATCTTCGGGCGGGAGTGAACCAACTGTACCCTGCTTTCATGGAACAACAAACAAAGCAACCACCGATCACGCAGAAGGTTGCTTCCCAGACACGGCGCGGGGTGCGGGTGTCGGGGTGCAGTCGCCACGCATCAGGATGCCGGGGCACGAGCGAGACCCGCACGAACGCACGGCACAGGCGAGGCTCGCGGGCAGGCCACTGTGTCGCCATAAAACGCAAACAAGAATACTTTCATGCCCTAAAAGGCGTTAACCCTGATCTGCCACAGGAGACAGACGTGGGGCCGCAGCAGTGCGGGCCGGGTGGGGCCGTCCCTCTCCCGCCCGGAGCCCGGTCCCGTGCCGCCGGCAGCCGTGCACTCACTCTGGCTCTCGCAGTCCACGCAGTGGGAGTTCCCGCGGATGTTCCGGATCGACTGCAGGGCCATGGCCTCACTCTGGCTGGTCAGTCGGGACTGCGCATAGAGCAAGACACACAAAGGTGAGGTCCCAGGACCCCGGGGGAAACGCACACAGCTGCCGGTGGCGTCAGGGGACAATCACACAGGCCGTGAGCGCAGGTAGGACGAGGGCAGTCCTCGATCGCGCCCCTCTCCTGCCGTCTTCACGGCGGAGCGTAACCGAGGGAGACCTCGTCAGGCACCGGCGACGTCCTGTGTTGGGAACTATCAGCTGAGATGGACTCTGCCAGGAATGAGCAGGGAGGAAGGTTCCGGATGATTTGTGAATGAACGGGGGACCCACCGCCACCTGGGGAAGGTGGTCGGTTCACGTCCCCTTTCTGCCACGCGTCCACTGGGTATGAAGATTAAAGAATGAGAAAGGAATAATCTGTTTATAAGCCAAGGGTCAGGGCTCAATCAGCAATGCAAGACATAGCTCATGGCTCCTCGTCTGAAAACCCTACCCGCACCACACATCTCGGCCCCGATAGTCGCTTTTCATCGGATGACTGTCTCGGTTGCCACAGCAACAGAGTCATTCGTGGGAGCGGGGACAGGGGCACTGATTCTTAAACTTATACTTTATGGTCTTTAAGAAGGATTTTAGCACTCTGGGACCCCGAGGAGGGAGGATCGCTCAAGGTCAGGAGTTCAAAACCTGCCTGAGCAAGAGCGAGACCCTGTGTCTACTAAAAATAGAAACAAATCAATTGGCCAACTAAAAACATATAGAAAAAACTAGCTGGGCATGGTGGCGCATGCCTGTAGTCCCAGCTACTCGGGAGGCTGAGGCAGAGGATTGTTTGAGCCCAGGAGTTTGAGGTTGCTGTGAGCTAGGCTGACGCCACGGCACTCACTCTAGCCTGGGCAACACAGTGAGACTCTATCTCAAAAAAAAAAAAAAGAAGAAGGATTTTAAAAGTACTTGCTTATTGCAGCAGGTTTAGAAAACAAAGAGGGAAAAAGAACATAAAAATTTAAAAACTAGGATATGGCCATCTCTAGTTGAACATTATTAAAATTTTGATGTCTATTCTTTTAGCCTTTTTTCTAAAGCACATTTACACACATACGTGTATTTTTAAAAAGCCAGCCTGACATATATTGCTGCTTGGGAATCTGCCCTTTTCGTCTAACGATTATCTGTTTATCACTCAATGCCATCACAGTGTCTGGCCTCAGCATTTTAAATAGCTGCATAGTATTCCATTTAGTGACGACCTACTGGCCAAGCTCTCTGACGGGCATTTAGGTGGCTTCCAATTTCCCTCTATCATAAATAGTGCTGTAAGGAACATCCTTACTGCTATACTTTCACACATGTTCATGATTATTTTATTTTTTTTGAGACAGAGTCTCACTTTGTTGCCCAGGCTAGAGTGAGTGCCATGGCATCAGCCTAGCTCACAGCAACCTCAAACTCCTGGGCTCAAGCCATCCTCCTGCCTCAGCCTCCCGAGTAGCTGGGACTACAGACATGCGCCACCATGCCCGGCTCATTTTTTTAAATATATATATATGTTAGTTGGCCAAGTAATTTCTTTCTATTTATAGTAGAGACGGGGTCTCGCTCTTGCTCAGGCTGGTTTCGAACGCCTGCCCTTGAGCAATCCGCCCGCCTTGGCCTCCCAGAGAGCTAGGATTACAGGCGTGAGCCACCGCGCCCGGCCCACATTCACGATTATTTACTAAGGATGGATCCTTGGAAGGAGAGGAGCTAGGTGAAAGGATATGTACAGTTTTTAAGGCTTATGTATTAAATATGCATTTAATATTATGATCAAAACAAAAATTGATCAATTTCAGAGGACACTTAGAATAAGCTTGATTTTTATGCAAGAATTCTTCATAAACTGAAACCATCTCATCAAATTATTTGATGTGAAGCAATTTATTGTTTACTACATAGTAGCACATTTCTTAATTACTACTGTCTACTTAGCATCATGCATTATTGGCTTTTAATTCCCTTTAGTCAGATACCCAGGTATTCAAAGTATCTTTGACAATGTATACTGGTCTGGAGTGCACTCGTGTGTACACGCACACATGCACACACAGAGGACTATGTCTGTCTGCTCCATCTCTGCCCTGCGTACCTGTGTAACTTCTGTGGTTGGCCGGTTGGTTGGTCTGTCTATCTAGGTCTATACCCGCTATCAATTCTGAATTATCCACAGGCAGCTGAAATACCGTTGAGCTGGCCCTCAACTGAGCCCGTGTTCTGCCTTCCTGGGGGACAGTATTTAGGTGCTTTACGCCCTCGCACCTGTCAGCAGGTGCCCAGGGTGCCCAGGTGTCCCAGGAGCAGTACCCGGTCGCACACTTGTCTAGTGAGAGCCCAGGGTTGGCATTTGAAGGTGGCATTCGTAAGTGTTTGCATCAGCTCAGACCGGAGCTGGGAACAGGCCGGCAAAGGTGAGGAGTGGGAAAGTCTGGCGCCGTCCCAGGTCATCCTCGGTAGGCCCAGGTGGCCTTGGTTCAGTCTGGCGTGAGAGACTGTGGTTTACCAGTAGTCTGTTCAGCCACATGTGGCCCCCGCCCCGTTCAGAGTTAGGTCCCGGCTTTGATGACGGCTCGTGTTACTGCTTCCCACAGACAGGGAGCCCCAAAAGGCCCCATGCTCGCCTTTGGAGCCACGGCCTGGCAGTGTGGGGACGTGACCCCATGAAGCCGGGGTGCTCGGAACGAAAGGCAGTGGCGCCCCCACCTTGGGTATAAAACATCTTTTAAAAAGGGAAGCAAATTACATTATAATAATGACGACTGTGGTCTGGTTTACCCTGGTTAAAGAGGGTAATAAAATAAGACACTCTATCTTTCTGAAAGACAGACCCCCTTCTTAATGACAAGGCTGAACATAAATCATTGGCAGAAATTTCTTTAAACGGCTACAAATGAAATTTCAAGTTGGTGGGTGACGTCCTTTCCCTTGGTTTCTAGCTGGAAAAACCAAAATGTTCTCCAGAAGTCTAAACTGTCCCAGCAAAAATTAAAAACATGCAAGCATTAAAATAATAAAATTGAAGGAATCCCTAAAGGGAAAAATGATTTTTGTATAAGGAATATCACTGGGCAGTAGCCTAGAAAATGCAGGATAAAAATCTTTTTTTTTTGGCTAAACAACTGCAAAAGAATTATTAATACCTCTAATTATCAAGTAAAACATATGAGGCTTTGTTGGTAGTTTAGAAAATGGAAGTTTATCTTCCCCGAACTCCCTGTGTGCTCACACACAGGTATCTCTTTTTCTCATTGAAGTGTCTGCCAAGAGCAGGTTTTCCAACGTGGCACGGATTTGAATTTGGGGCATTTATGAGAACTGTTGGTAACAGTGCGTCTTTTAAGTCTTAGTATCTTTTCCTGAGTGTATCCTGTCCAGTACAAAAATAAATGCAGACACATAAGACACACTTTTGTGTCTTATGTGATGATGGAATTTTGCAGAAGATTCCGTCATCTGCAACCAAAGGCCAGTGCTTTCTGTCTGGGATTAGCTGAGCGAGACCTCACAGTAAGTGGAGACTTAACGTGGGCTGTCCTGCCGTGGTCCAGCCAGGAGACTCACGTACGAGGCGGGATGCACGCAGACACAGAACGTCGTGTATCTTTCCAATTACTGCGCTTTCTCTCGCAGAGAACAGCAGGGTCTTACCGTTCCCGCACACGCATCGTGTACGTTCCCCTCCAGAGGTGTCACTGGGGTCCCCACTCCCTTCCCGCGACCCGGGGGTGGGGGGGCTCACCTTGTTCTTGCTGCTCTCGCAGGACTGCAGGCTGGCTAGGATCTGGCTCTCGATGGCCTGGACCCACGCGTCCCGCTCTTCATAGGTGGTGGCTTCGAAGTGCCACGTCTGGCCGGTGAGGGACACGATGATAAACTCAAAGTTTTCTTCTTGTTCTGAAACACAGAGTGGTGGGGACGAAGAGATTAGCTCTGCTGAGGTGGCAGCCCCTCTGCCGGTCCTGTGCCCTTGGGTTCGGCCGCACCTGCACGGGGCCGGCGGCACACGCGGGACCGGACGCCTACGGCAGCAGAGATCCGAACCCACACCCCTCCCTAATGCTCCTGAAGCCACCACGGCTCAGCCAGGTTTCAATCGACGCTCAGGGACCAAGGGAAAATGACAGTCAGCACGTGGTGTGTCTCTGTGTTGGCCACAGACAAAGCAACTCAGGAGAACAGCTTTGCGACTCAGAGCTGCCCACCCTCATCTGTGGGACGAAGAGTGAGTGAGTGGGTGCTGCTCATCTCGGATGCAGCGCCGACTTCCCTCTACGTGCCTGCGGGCAGGTCCACAGGTGCACCGAGGCACACACGATGCCGGAAGGTCTCTGTTTTTACGGTGGAGGAGGACCTGTTACAGTAGGAAAGCTCCGATTCCCACAATATTCACATAAAGACAGCGCAGGGGATCTCCCCAGACCCAGAAGGGCCTGGACCGAGATTTGCAGGCCCCACACTCGGCAGCTGCTATGGTAGAACCATCTGGAACGGGAGGAGAGGGACTAGGGTTTACATCCCACGGCGCCACTGGCCACGTCTGAGTCTTTGGACAAGACCCTCGACTCGTGCTCCTTGCCCATGACATGGAGGAAAAGGCACCTGTTTCATAGTGCTTTCCTCTAGCTAAACCAAGTGTGTGACTCACGCCGCCATGGGGCCTGGAACGAGGAAGACACCCCGTAAGTGTACGACGGGCTTTGTCCTCCATTCCCGTCTCCACTCCCAGTCCCCAGCTCCTGCCACTTACAGAAACCCTAACCAGTTACAGATCACCTTCGAGACGTCTTACGCTGGCTTCTGGGTGCATCCCACTTGATTGGCAGTTTCCCGGCACTGGCCTGTGACTCGGGATCACCTGTCGGCCAACTGTTACTCGTAATGACAATCATCTTGCCCCCCATTTTACTCATGATCTCACTCATCTGCAACCTCCCTCTGGCTCCCGTCTTCAGCACTAACCTCTGATCTGCCAGGCCCCGCGCCCCAGCCCAGCTTCCGCGCGCCACGTTCCCCTGCCCGGGGCCGGCTCTCCGGAGGCCCTTACTTGACACGTGCTCTGTGGCCTCGGACGCCAGGATGCTCTCTAGTCCCATCTCCCGCTTCTGTCTCCGAGGCAGCCGCAGCCCTCTCCTGCCATCCTCTGCTCGTTCCCTTTAGTCCCGCTAGACACACAGCCCCCCAGCCCCTGGCTGAGAGAGACCTCGTCCACCGGATCCCACGGATGCTGCCAAGCAAGCCCCAGGCCCAGGGAGTGCGGACAGCGCCCGAGAACGGATGCTCACGTCCTTCCTAGTGCACCGTTTCCGTAAGTAACCACCGCTGATCACCACGGACACAGGCCGTGCCGCCTCCCTGTGAAATCTTAACATACCCTGAAAGCAGTGGTCCAGCCAACCACCGGTTTCCATGGAGGACTGGTTGCAGGACCTCCCCAGATGCCCAAGTTCACGGATGCTCAAGTCCCTGCTATAAAATGGTGTGATATTTGCATATAACCTACGCAGGTCTTCCTGTACGCTTGAAATCGTCTCTACTTATAATACCTAACACAACGTGAATGCTATGTAAATAGGTGTTATACAATATTTTTTATTTGTATTGTTATTAATTATTATTTAAATTTTTTTGAATATTTCAGATCCACAGTTGGTTAGATTTGAGGATGTGGAGCTGCAGATACGGAGGACCGAGTGTGTTGTGTTTTGTGTCAAGCGAGCCCTGTGGCTCCTTTGGAATTTAACTGCCTGCTGAGTTGGACCTAAGCGTGTGGAGCCTGCTCTGAACAGCGCCCACAAGGTGGGGCAGACGGCATGCCCACTCGCAAAGCCTTTGGCTTCTCCTCCAACACGGAAAATGCCGTCTCTGCCGAGAGGGTCCTTGGCCCCACACCCTTCCCCAGGTCTACACGTCTCAGCCACCACGCCGGGGCTCTTCGGGGACTGCGGGAATGTGCTGCGGTGCATGCACTGGTGGGGGGCAGGTCAGGCCCCCCTGAAGCCCTGGGCTCTGTCTGTGGCCCCGCCTGTGGTGTCTGGGCCGAGGCCGAATCTCTGAAAGGGGCTGGCCAGGCGCGCCCCATGGACCCCGAGAGGAGCCTTCGGAGCACGTGCTCAGCCCGCCTGCAGGTGTGTGTGGGCCCTGGGTGCTCTGAACCCCCCCGTGCCTCCTGACTCTGGAGAGTGGGGATAAGAGGTCAGAGAGTGAGGATTTATCAGGAGTTTCACTGCAACCTATTGAGCTCTTGAGTTTAGAGAACAAATGGCCTCTGTATTTAAGCAGAAGCACAAGCTCCACCTGCCGTGGAAAGGAAGGTGGGGGTGGAGGTGGTGTCTGTGGGCCCCTCCCCCACCCCTAGTAATGCCCTTGGACAGTCGGGGACTTGTTGGGCTTTTCATAAAAAAAAGAAGTCCCTGTGACTTTCACATAGGTCTCTCCACGGCTGACCTACAATTACACCTGCAGTTACCGGCTGAGCCGCTGCACCTGTGGTTTAAGAGGTCCGCCTTCTTGATGCACGGGCTTTTATGTCCTAATGCTATGAATTACAACCTTTTCCGCATGGATTCTTGTAAGACAGTGCCCCAATTCATGTATTTTATGCAAAACCATCCTAGGGAACTGGTAGGTGAGGCAGGAAAGAACTACTCAATTCACAGTCAGACCATAAGGAAAACTCGGTAATTTGTGGGTACAACGTGGCGCTTTTTCACCAAGAGACCTACTGAACAGGCTCCCACTTTTTAAAATCTGTGAAACTCAAATGCACATGTCAAAGTTCCCTCTGATCAGGATTTATTGGACCTTCTAGTGAAGAAAGTTACGACAATTAGCTTTCCTGTTAAATTCCTGCACAACTGGTTCACCATAGACCCTCCCTGTTCAAACATCTGGCCAGTCGCGAGCTACAATCTCGGAACTAAAGGGGAAGAGCGGCATTCACTTTGCACGGGCACAGGCTCAGGCCCTGGTCCTAGGCCGCCCTCCCCACGTTCCAGGCACTGGCCGGGTGGAAGGGGTTCCAGCATGCAGGAGACAGTCTGTGCTCCCTAAATGCCTCCACGTGGTGGGGACAGGCACACACGTACACGCGGATGAGGGAACACAGAGCGATGAACACAGCGATGGAGATCTGAATAAAGTGCCCGAATAAAGTATTTTTGGCCCTGTTCCAATGCAGTAGCTGCTACTGGGCATCTTCCACTGTGATACTCTCAGTATTTCACGCAAAGACAAAACTTTCAAATTAAATTGCTAAAGTACAGTTTGGCTTTACCCTATTAATTATGCAAACAAAATTTTCCTATGCATGCCAAATCTACTTAACAGAACAAATACATTTAACTGTTCATTGGAACATCGGAATCCATTTCTTGCAAGTATACCACCCTACAATATCTACTCTACAGCTTTACCACACACCTCAAAATCTATCCCACCACCTGGCTTCTCCTTATACTTGACACAAATCCCCTTTTCTAGTAACTTCCGTGTCCACTAAACATTTCTGTCTCTCAGTTCCTGTGCCGTTTCTTCCCCCGTATATCTCTGCTTCCTTTGCCTGGTCCCCGAAGAACACCTTCTTGAGACCTAGATAGGGCAAACGACTTCCTCACTCTATCCCAAACTCAACGGCCCCTTCTACAGACTTCCTGGCCTCATTCTGTCCTTGAGAGGTCATCTGTCTTCACCTGTCACTGGCACAGCCTGCACAGCAGGGACATGCACTGGTGCATGCCACTCTCCTCTGATACTTGCCCCACTATCCATCCTATTGGAATCTCACTTTGGGAGATGACAGAGGAGTTACCAGCTGGGGCCCGTGGCTTTTTCTCTGTTTTCTTCCTCGCTGGTCCCCTCCTCTCTAGAATGTCTGACACTAATGATCACTGCTATCTTGCAACTCTTCCCCTCTTGGTCCTCTGAGCTGCTCAGTCTCCTTGAATTCTCACCCGAAGTGAGCAAGGCATTTGTCAGGGCGAACAAGAGGGATGTGAGTAGAGTCACACAGATCTACAACTCACTGAAGTTTCCTTCCAGAGGGTACCAGGCACCACAACCCAGAAGGAGGTTGTAGTGAGTGGCATACCACGGGACTTTCACCTCTGCCTTGTCTTGTTCCACATTTCAATGAATGACTTGGATAAAGACATGCAGTCAGCTTACCAAATCTTGACAGGAGGGAATCTGGGGAGGAGAGCAGCTAAACTAGGGTTTCCTCTCCTGGGTCTAAAGAGAGAAGGACCTCAGAGCCGGGCTGAGAACTCAGGTGGGGAAACACATCGCACGTGGCTGAAATTCCTCCACTTGGACCCCAGTGGCAAGTGAGGTTTGGGGAGACGCTGCTTGCCAGCTGCAAACGTGAAAAGGCTGGGCAGCCACAGCGCAAAGCAAGACCAACGCGGGGCTCTCGGTGAAAGTGACAGCCACCAGTGTCACTAACGGTGAGGGGGAGGAGTTCGGGGAGCACCAAGGGAGAGCACTGCCAGGGAGATCTCGCCAGAGCCACACGAGCTCTGCCTGCCAGCAGGGTGACGGCACCTGTTCTTGGAGCCCTGGGGGGGGTCAACCCTGGTCAGAAAAAAAGACGGGGGCTCACAGGTGGAAGATTCTGCCCACTCACAACTATCCACTGGTGGAACTTTTGGGTTCTGCCCTCCTGTAGGTTTCAAACCCTTGTCACTTGGCCCTTGCAAGGGAGATGGCTGGGCATTCAGCATCTCAGAGATGACCAGCAGGGCTCTTCCGACTCCGAGATTCTGCGGAAGTGCTACAAGGTAGTTCTCAACTCCTCTGTGCAGGGGGCAGCTGTGAGCAGCTGCAGGGGCTGCTTCTCGAGTATTCCCAGGCCCGCTCCAGGCTCCAGGAGAATGAGGATCAATTAGCAACGTCTGCCA